TGAATCTTTCTAAGAGTAGAATGTGAATGTTTTAAAGCAATAACTGAGAAAATGACATGAAGGCTGTGTTGACCAGTTGATGGAAGTATTTCAGATTGCATGTGAAAACCCCACACTGTACCCCAGAAGCGCATTAATGTACATAGTTACCGTTCAATAAAAAAAAGAAAAAAAAAAAAAAGAAATGGTTTATGGTTTCTTGAGATGTTATCTACTCTGGTGAAGATGCTGTAAACACTGTTGAAATGACAGCAAAGGATATTACATAAATGTAGTTGATAAAGCTGCAGCAGAGAATGAGAGGACTGACTCCAATTTGCAGGTGACTGAAAACTGAGAAGAGTTATAAAAATGTTAAACTCCTAGCAAACAACATCACATCCTACAGAGAAATCTTTTGTGAAAGAGCCAATCAACATGGCAAATTTCACTGCTGGTTTAAGAAACTGACACAGCCACTCCAACACTGAGTAAACCACCACCCTGATCACTCAGCAACCATCAGGGAGGTAAGATTTGCAGGAAAAACTACAATTCACAGAAGGTTCAGATGATTATTAGCATATTTTAGCAATGAAGTATTTTTTAAGTAAGGCATATATATTTTTAGAAACACTGTGATTATATACTTAACAGACTATAGCATAAACAATTTTTATTAGACTTTTTTTTTTGAGCCAGAGTCTCACTGTGTTGCCCTCAGTAGCATGCTATGGTGTCACAGCTCACAGCAACCTCAAACTGTTCGCCTCAAGGGATCCTCTTGCCTCAGCCACCCAAGTAGCTGGGACTTCAGGCACCCACTACAACACCTGGCTATTCTTTAGCAACAGGGTCTCAATCTTGCTCAAGCTGATCTCAAACCTGTGAGCTCAGGCAATACACCAGTCTCAGCTTCCCAAAGTGCTAGGATTACAGGTGTAAACCACTACGCCCAGCCTAGTATAAATAATTTTCAACCAAAAAATAAAAATAAAAATTGTCTGACTCATTTTATTATTCATTTTGTTGGGGTGGTCTGGAACTGAGTATCTCTGAGATACGCCTACAGTGTATTTTCTTCCAACAGTTGAACCTCACACTAAATCTAAGCCATACATAGGCAAAAGTAAGAAGACTGCTATTAAGCCAGATCATTCATTCATCAAAGGATTACAAGAGCCCAGAAAATCCCTGGGCGTTAGTACTCTGGAGGTGTTAAAACTAGAATGGTTAGCAATATCAGACAAAATTCTTGTTTTTTTTGATATTTAAAGAGCAACAAATAATCTGCCTGACAAAAATGACATACCTAATGAATTCCACCTATTACGAATAATGTTGGGTTTTGGGGGGTTTTTTTAAGAGACAGTGTCTGGCTCTGTCATCCAGGATGAAGAATAGTAGCAAAATCATAGTTTCCTCCATCCTCAAAACTTGTAGGCTCAACAGAAGTGATCCTCAGCTTCCTGTTTAGCTAGAACTACAGGTCTGTGCCACCACATCCAGCTATTATTATTCTTTTTTTTTTTTTGTAGAGATAGGGTCTTGCTATGTTGACTAGGCTGGTCTCCAACTCCTGGCCTTAAGCAATCTTCATACCCTGGCCTCCCAAAATGCTGGGATTATAGCTGTAAGCCACCATGTCTAGCCTTGAATATTTAACCTTAATGACAGAATTAAACTGAGTAATGAGGAAAGATCAATCTCTAAGCCTATTCATTGGGCTCCTTTTATAATTAATTTTTTAAAACTAGACAGGATGTTTCTTAAATCTGCAGGTGATTGAAAACTGAGAAGAGTTATAAAAATTTTAAATCACAAGTAAAAATTTCATAAGATCAGAGCTGAGGCAGAATGAAAAAACCACAACTTCCTTCACTTATACAATATTTGTCGTTATCACAAAATATCTTTTATGTCTCAGCAATCACCTATCTGGCATCCCTGTTTAATAAGAAGCACAGAGTCTAATAAGAAGAAACACATAAGAAGCCAGTAATTAAAATTTAAATAGGATTAACTATAAAGTAATTCTCTAACGACTTAAAAAATAGGATTAACTATCAAGTTATTCTCTAATGTCTTAAAAAGAAACAATACAGTACCAGTTTTTTTTCTGGTTTTTTTTTTTTTCTGAGATAGAGCCTCAAGCTGAGCCCCTGGGTAGAGTGCCATGGCTTCACTGCTTACAGCAACCTCCAACTCCTGGGCTCAAGTGAGTCTCCTGCCTCAGCCTCCCAAGTAGCTGGGACCACAGGCGCCCACCACAATGCCCGGCTATTTTTTGGTTGCAGCCATCACTGTTGTTTGGTAGGTCCGGGCTGGATTCGAACCCGCCACCTTAGGTGTATGTGGCTGGCACCTTAGCCGCTTGAGCCACAGGCGCCAAGCCACAAGTCAGTCTTAAAAAGAAACAATATAGGCTCGGCGCCTATGGCTCAACTGGCTAAGGTGCCAGCCACGTACACCCAAAGTGGTGGGTTCGAATCCAGCCCGGCCCACCAAACAACAATGATGGCTGCAACCAAAAAATATAGCCGGGCGTTGTGGCAGGCGCCTGTGGTCCCAGCTACTTGGGAGGCTGAGGCAGAAGACTCGCTTGAGCCCAGGAGTTGGAGGTTGCTGTGAGCTGTGATGCCACAGCACTCTACCCAGGGGGACAGTTTGAGTCTCCTGTCTCAAAAAAATAAACAATATAGTACAAGTACATGATACAAGGAAGCCATGGTGAGTTATGACTGTGCCACTGCACTCAAGCCTAGACAATAGAGTAATATCTTATCTCTTCAAAACACACACACACACAGGATTTTTCAATGGCTATATAACCTGGAAGGCTATATAACCTGTGCAATGGAAGTCGGAAATAGAACTGCTGGTTTGAAATAGTTTGAACCATCTCCTAAGAGAGATAAGCTATATTTGTTTACTTTTAAAAAGGACAACTAGGAACAGTAACTAGAAACAAAATTTCTAAATATTGTTAATTAGAACTCTGGTTAATTTATTTAGCAAACATTTAATGATAAAGATAGTAAAACTATCAAACTACAACCTCTAATTGTAAAATGAATAAGTAACTGTAATGGTTAACTTAAAATAATGTCTTTTTAATAACCTTGCCAGATAATAATCAAAGATTATTTAGTGACTATCAAAGCACCTGAAAGCCTTAAGCAAGAAACAAAGTAAGATACATATGTACAAGCACGTATGCTTACTATTAACATTCAAAAATCCTAGTTGAAGTTTAAATGTCCCATTACAGCTCTCTAGGATCAAAATGGGATATATTTTCAGTTAAAAATTTAGAAAAATTGGCGGCAGCTGTGGCTCAAAGGAGTAGGGTGCTGGCCTCATATGCTGGAGGTGGCAGGTTCAAACCCAGCCCAGGCCAAAAACTGCAAAAAAAAAAAAATTTAGAAAAACTATTTTGTAGTTTATTCTGAAAAGGTTCAATGTGTACTCGTAAGAAATGGAACATATGGAAGAGAATAGTACTCTCTAATTAGTCTACAATAAAGTCCTACTTTGGCTAGGCATGATGGCCCACACCTATAATCCTAGCACTCTGGGAGGCCAAGGTGAGAGGATTGTTTGAGCTCAGGAGTTCAAGACCAGCTTCAGCAAGAGCAAGACCCTGTCTCCACTAAAAATAGAAAAATCAGTCAGGTGTGGTGCTGCACACCTGTAGTCCCAGCTACTCAGGAGGCTGAAGCAGGAGGTCTGTTTGAGCCCAGGAATTTCAGGTTGCTATGAGATAGGCAGAAACTGTTGCACTTTAGCCTAGGAAAGAGAGCAAGACTCTGTCTCCAAAGGAAAAAAAAGAAAAGTCTTACACTGTTGAGTCTTTGGTTTAACCAAATTTGTCTTACTCTCCTAGTCAAGTAATAATATAAAATGTATCCATTTCTAAATAGTCACATTAAATATGACATCTAATAAAACTTAGGAACCTTCAAATTTGACACTAGGATTCTGCAGTAAACGTTTTCTCTCTCTCGCTTATTTTGTGAGGTATAGAAGTATGTACAATTAACTTTATTTTTTGTAATTTATTTATTTATTTATTTTTTAGAGACAGAGTCTCACTCTGTTGCCCAGGCTGGAGTGCAGTGACATATCATAGCTTACTACAATCTCAAACTTCTGGGCTTAAGCAATCCTTTTCGTCCACCTCCATAGTAGCAGGGACTACAAGCACACACCACCATGCCCAGCAAAATTTTTGTTTTACTTTATTTTATAGAGACAGGGTTTTGCTATGTTGCCCAGACTAGTCTCAAACCCCTTTCCTCAAGCATTCCTCCCTTGTCAGCCACCCAGAGTTCTGTGATTATAGGTATGAGCCACTGTACACAGCCTAAAATTCACTCTAAATTTTCAAAATAATCAGACTTAAAACAAGATTTTTTAAAATGAACAGACATGTTCAAAAACTAGATGAGATTTATTTTTTGGTGAAAATAATGGTAGATCCCTTCCCCAATTTTCCTTATTGATACTTCCATGTGTTTAGAGTTCACTATCACTCCCATGCCACAATCAATAAGAAAAATAGACAATGTAATTATATTCACTTACTCTCCAGGGCCTCCACAATAGCAGTAACACTGCTGGACATTGGTTTTATGACCTGCATCCCATTCAAGGTCTGCCACACTATAGGGTAACGTCTGCTTCATGACTTGCAGTGCTTTGGCATTTGGTCCTTTCTTAAGCGCACCTCCCCTCTATATTAGAGGGAAAATAATTTTTTAGAAGAGTGAAGGCTAAAATTTTAAACACATTTCTATACTTTAAAAATACCTCTGATACTTCTGCAGAAATTTCCATCCCAAATTTCTACATCACAAACTGACAAAATAGTAATTTATTGTCTTCCTTCAAATTACTGCCTCAATTTCCATACTGTTATCATAAAATAAGTTTAAGAAGAGTTGCAAGTCACTCAAGCATCATTAGTCAAACAACAAATAGGACCTCTTTCTACCCAACTTTCATTGCTCATTTTATTCAAATAAAATTTCAATGTTCACAATCATTACATTGATAGTGCCTTAAAAATTCCAATTAGGGTTTTAGCCAAAAACACTTAAAATTTGATACCTTTGTTGTTGTTGCAAAAACACACTGTCGACAGAGCCATTTTTCATCTGAATCAATCACACTGGAATCAATATGAGGTGTGTGACACAACTGATGATATCCTTAATATCAAAAAAGCATAAAGCAAATTCTATTTTATTAATTAATACTGCAACAGTTTCAAGGAGGCATTTTATTATTATCATTTCCTACAGAAATATATTTACAACTGATGAATAAACTTAGGGTAATAGCTTTAAAATAACAATCTAAAATCTTCTTTTTTCTTTTTGAGACAGGAGCCTCAAGCTGTCCCCCTGGGTAGAGTGCCATGGCATC